CCAGTCCCTTTTGGGTATAATGGAAACTTTGCATGTTTCAGAGGTTTTTGACATATACTGCAAAGTGACAGTGTATATATTCTGTTTGCATACGTCTCTTGATTGCATGGACAGGGACTGTCTTTGGAAACTGGGTTACAAGTGACTCAAGAGTTTACCTTTTAAAATAACTGTTTTCTGTTGGGTTTTTTTTAAAGATAATACAAAGCATATGTGCAGACTCTCTAAAAGTTCTGTATAAACAAAAGACAGGCAGGAATATACCAGCCTTACAAGCCACACATGGAAAATGCCTGTACTTTGTCAGTGGAAATTTTACAGTCATTATTAGCATTAAATCTCATTGTAGCTAATTGGGACACAGTACAGCTGCAACTGCTGTAAGGGGACATCAGGCCCAGCATTTCCTGATACAGGCAAGGCTGTTCACAGCCAATGACGTCTACAGCTGATGCTAAGAGCAAATGATTGTTTCTCCCATGATACAAAGAAAGACGGCTCTTAATACTGAACAATAAGAACCGTTCTGCAGCCCATCCTAACTGGGATGTAGAAAGTACAAGCGTGATAGTAATAGGAAGGAAGAAGCTTTTTGATTTCAGGAGTGAACAATTTAATTAAAACAGACAATTTAATTAGCAGTTTGCACTACATTACAGGCACAGTTAAGGATCTCGTCCAGAATTCACAAAAGTCATTGGGAATTTTTCTGTTGACTGCAATGGGTTCTGGATCAGATCATGATTGAGGCTGATGACTGCAGTAAACAAATTACTCAACACTGCTTTATGTCTTACTAACACTGTCTTACCAGTGATGACAGAGTCATCAATTTCTGCTGACCCATGCACTCCTCAAGGTATAGTATCACTCTACTGTGAGAACTGGCTCGGCCTTGGCATATGAGGTCTGAGCCTAGGGTCACCTTTCCTGCCCCATATCCCTGAGTTGCTTCTTTAATTACATTTGTCAACCCTTTAGTTACTGGTTATGTATGTAATTAGGGTTTTGGTTTTTGAAAGCTGAAACAAAAAATAAAACAGACCAGAGAACGAGATAGTCCCCTTTCCCATTCATGAGTGGGTAGGAAAACAACTCCCTGCTGCCTCCTCTCCCTGCAGAGTGTGGGTAATTTGAATGTAAATACAAAGAGACATTTAGCTTACAGGTTAAAACAAAATTTTGGAAGACAGGAGACCTGGGCTTTCTTTCCTCTCTACTGCTAATCCATTGTGTGACCTTGGGCAAGTCACTTATTTTTTCATGTTTCATTTTTCAAACACTTTGAGAGTTTCTAACAGAAGGACAAGGTAAATGCATTACTATTTTTTGCATTTGCTTTCCCTCGCTCACTTGCATCCTGGAAGGATTTGTTCAGACCCTCTGACTGCTTGACCTTTCCCTTCAGTAAGTCAGTATGAGTCCTGGCCTTCAGAGACTTGGAGAGCCTAAGGGAATGTCTATACGGCAGTCAAAGATGTGACAGCAGCTTATATAAACATACCCGAGCTTGTGTTAAACTAGCTAGCTTGCCTAGGAGTTCTTGCAGAACTGAACTCAGCACAGGCTGCAAAACCCAGACAGGATGCTGAGTAATATTTGGGTGACAAACCTGCAGTATTTTCCATGCTGGTGCAGCTATATTCTTATTGTTCTCCACACTACCTAGTTTTGAGCTAGCTCAGTTGTGTCTACAGAAGCTGCACTCAGTGCAATCTAGAAATACCTAAGAAACATTAGAAATATTTTGCCTATAGATCACAAGGCCCCTCAACATTGATCCCTTCATGTTCAAATAGATTAATTAATTCACAGCTCTTCAGGTCAGATAGAAAAAAAAACAGTTTATACTGCATCTGTGCTAAAGCCTAATGAAAGATCCAGTTCCAGTGGAACCTCCATACAGTAACCAAAACAGGATATCACCATGGCATGTGAAAATGAAATTCTACTCTCTCTAGCTAGTTGATGACTTCATGGACAAAAATAAAACTATTGTATTCTTTCCTCCCTTCTGCCACTACATTACATCTAGTGATTACTTCCTGCAGTGTTTACTGGGCAGGTACACTTAGATCCAGTTGTGCAGAATTGCTTGTAAACCTAAACTTTAGTGGAGATTCCCCTCCTCCCTTTTTTTTCTTCCTGAGATAGTTTTGGCAGTGACAGCAAATTCCCCATCCTCCATGTAGCGATTCAAGCAAATACTAGACCAGTGAGGGGCCAGCCGTTTTGGCAGGCATGCCACAAATTAAGCCCCATGAACTCCCTGAATGCCACTTCAATTCCCTTCCTTTGCCAATCTGCCACTCTGCTTTCTGCTCTCTGCCCCATCTGTCCCTGTGCTGTCCATAGGCACCAACTTTGTTTTTTGCTGGTCAGTGCTTTAAAAAAAATTAAAAACCAAAATAAAATAAAATAATAATAATAATAATAATAATGGCACTTTCCTTTTAAATCAGCATGTTTCCTCACGAAATCCCACTCATGTCCAGGAGAGGCGGCACATTACTTTTACCCGCAGCATCTGTAAGCAGGCACTTTAGTGGGACTTTTTTGGCACTTTCATGTAATAGCTGATTGAATCAGCTTAGCTAAAAGCACCAAAAAGACCCCGCTTAAGCACCCTATCTTTACAGACGCTGCATAGCTGGGGTGAAGTAACGTGCTCCTGCTTCTGGTAAAGTATGTTTTTTGGTTGGTTTTCTTTTAACATCTGCAAGAAGCTCTGTAAGTGCTGAGCACCCACTGATTTGTTTCGGTGAAGTCGGCACCTGTGGTGCTGCCTGCTCCTTCCCCAATCTGCCATGTGCCCCACACACAGGGTACCCGGGCCACTTGTGGCATCACAACCAGCCTTGGGGAAAATGGTGCCCTGGGCCAACTTGTATTTTGGTGCCCCGCCACTGCCTCCTCCCCACCAAGTCAGTGGTGCTGCTGAAGGCAGAGGCAGGCAGGCAGCGGTGTGGGGTGCAGTGCGGCAGGGAGGGTGAGCAGCACGGTGTGCAATGCAGGCGCGTGGGTAGGCAGTGCTGCTGCCACTCACACTAGCTGGCTTAGCTCCTCCTGAGTAGCACCTGGAGGCAGGGGGCAGGCTGGGCTGGGCACTGCTCCTCCTGCCTAGGGCAAAGATCAGCCAGGGCAGGGGGAAACTGTTGCTGTGAGTTTGGGCTGTTCACACGTGTGGCATGTGCATGTGTGTGTGGTGCCCCCATAATCACGACACCCTATGCGGTCGCCCACCCCCAGGGCTGGCACTGTGTGGCATGAATGCCGCAGGTTGGCCACACCTGTACTAGATAATCCACTAATGTCAGGGACTGTAACTCAACAGCATGAAGCAGACATTAGCTATACAGCAGCAGGAAAGATGAAGGAAGTTTAAGCACCCTCACGTCAATTTTTTGATAAATAAAAACATGCTGAGCTCCTTCCTTTCCATCTCATATCCTTGTTGTGACAAGGTATTCAGCAGAACTTGCAGATTTGTTGGAATCTGACAGGACCTCACTGTGAGTGCTTCTGCTATGGCCTCGAACTTGCAACCTCTGGCTGTCAACCATGAGCCTTAAGCACCCAAGCCCCCTATGCAGAGTTGAGTCAAATTTTGGGCTAAACAGTATAAAATGAAATTCCAAATTTTAATTTCCTTTGTTCTTCACAGTCAGATTTAAAGAAGCAAGAAGCAAGAAGCAAGCAGCAGCATTATCAACTTTTGTGATATCCTACTTTTTTCAGGAAGCCCCTGCTTCTGGACTAAGACAGTTAAGAAAGAAGGAGAGATTATTATTTTAAATCAAGTTTCTGGCCCACCAGGGTGGGGACCAACCTTTGAAAATGTACCAGAAAATTCACACAAAAGGCAGCTCCTTCCCCATTTGTTGCTGTTTGTCTAAATCTCATATTTTCCAAGCCAATTTTGGATTGATTCATGATTTTTGAATGCTCGAGGTCAGGAATACTGGAAATGTTCCCCCCACAGCATATTTCAAAATGCTAAATTACAAAGATATTCCCAGTCTCTCTGCATTAGCTTGCAGTTCTTTAATGTGCTGTGATTCTAGTACTTGGTGTATTGTGGGTGACAGACCACTAGCGCTTTGGGATCAGGCAGACAGGTGCGTAACAAGCAGGGTGAGCACTCTGGGTATCCTGCAAGAGTAGGGGGTAGGGGGAAGGTGCCACTGAGCACCAGAGAGGTGGAGGGCACAGGAGCTTTACTTATGCCAGGACCTCAAAAATAGTCCTCAGCTGCCGCTACCACAGCATACGTAGTCTGCCCACCCCAACCTCTGCTCCTGCAGCAGTAGTAGTGCAGTGTTCATGCACCCGGCTACTTCTGCAAGAACAATGTCATGCGGCTGCTTCTGCTCCTCATGCGCAGACTCTGCAGGGGCTGGGGTGCAGGTCTGGTATCTCTATTAAGTTGGTGCGTTGCTCTCCAAGTTATGCTACTAAAGGCAGATATTCTGTGCGAGATATTGGGTGTATCTTCACTGAAAAAAACCCCAAAACAGTATTTTTCCATTGTTGTAGCTAATGCACTGTGAAATTTTAGTAAAGACAAGGCATTGTAGTGCCAACAAGATACAGCTTGTCCAACACAACCTCAGGTCAAGTTACAGATACACAGAAGTAAAAACTGCCTGTCTCACCTCCACTAAGATTTAATACTAAGATACCACCTCATGAAAGAAATTGCCTTATTGCAGTAAAGACATAATCTATGTACCAGTAATGTTGGAATGATGCTAGGACACGCTGTGACTGAGCCTTGCGACTTAATAAAGAACCATCTCTCTCCTGACAAAAAATTTAGATTACATATAATACCGACCTCCCCCACCCTCAGCAGTCCTAACAGCACATTCCCGGCAGCAGTTCTGTGCTACCCCATTTTTCTTTATACGTTCAACACAGAAAACCTGATTTCACTGCATGGTACTTGAAGCTGCCGGCCTTATTGGACCATGCATTGCAAGAAAGCCAGCCATACTGACCATGCATCTGGTAGGTGTACGGTGCTTGTCCCGGTGTTGCTGTGCTGAAGCTGGATCCGTAGCTAAGGAACCCACTCTGTCCTGGAGAATGGCTCAGACTATCTTCTGTTTTAATGCCTTTGGAGGATATAACAGGAACCAAAAGCATGATGTTAGTGTTCCTCTTGATCTCAACATATATTGGTATAGAAAAAGGTTTCCAAGCTTAAGACATTTTAGCTAGACTTGAAGGGGGTGGAGCTATGGCTTTTTAATATAAAAGTTCTATTAAAATTGGATATTATTAACAAACAGATCCAATTTTCTGCAGCCATTTTTAATATTCTCCAGTATTAGCCAGATATCTTCCTTAAATTGTATACAATCTATGTGTTCGTCAAGAGTTGCCTGTGCCAACTATGTTAACGTCCATTCTGGGATTGTTGCAGTTGTTGTAGTTACATTAGACAGTGTTTCCCCACTGAACAGATAACTAAGTTTTTAAGACAAGAAAACGAGTAATGCACTTTCCAGAAAGAATTTTTAGATGCACATTAATATTAACAGTTCATTGAACTAATGGATTGGATTTGTAAACGTTTCAAGCAATTCTCAGATGATGGTAATTAATTACCAACATGTCAATACTAATGATATTTTCTCAGATAAATCAGTAGCATAACTGTGTAGCAGGACATTGGGATGGCTGCCCCATGTGAGCAGTGGGGACTTCCAGTTGCCCCTGACCCCATAGTCACAATCATGCGGCTGCAGGAAATGCCAGTTCCCGCCCCCCCACCCCATCTCTATCAGTACCCAGGATAGTTGCCCCCGTCTCCCCAGCCTAGTTACACTATTGAGGTAAACATCAATGAGCTTTGCTTTAGTTACCGTTGCATTTTTGATTAGCTGCAGTTGGAACATGCAATGTCTGTTAGCAGGTCATGGTCAAAGATTATCAGCTAGGTGCAAGCCGCAGGTGTTCATGTACAGTTCATAAAGCAATAGGCAAATCCCACATAAACAAAGATCTTCTTGATACCAAAATCAAGACTTGAAACTCATGCTGAATCAGAGGGGGACAGGTACTAGCTGATTTTCACACTGCAGGACAGACCCTTCATCAGTTGTGAAAATACTTCATATTTTATGCTTGGGACTGCTGAGATCATGCAGCTGTATTTTTAAAACAAATAGCTGAAAGGTGCATCTCATTACAAACTCTTTGGGTGTGAACTCTACCTGTTTGCATGTATATTTGCACAAAACAAAAAACTTGGCCACAAAACATGCCCTGAGCATCATGGCTAAACAAAGAGCCTGTTGATGGTGTGTCCTGAGATTTCCAAATTGTCCAGGTTGCTGCCATTTTTCTGCATTTTTAGGCAAACAATCCAGTCAAATAAAATTCATACAGCTTCAAACAATGGTATTTGTGACTCTTGCTCTCTAGCTTGCCAATGCCTCCATCCTGAAAAAGCACAAGTCTGCACTCTCTCAGACTAGGTAGGGTAAGTTTTACTGACTAGCTTCTTTCTGGACAACGTTGTTTATTTTACTTTTCATCTCTTCCCATTTATACAAAAATAATTCGTTTTACATGAAATCCACACAGTTTAGATGCAGGTTACCAATGGGGGTAACAACAACCTATGGTAAAATCCAGTATATCTCTCTGGAGGATTAGTGAATGTGTGCTGGTGTAAGCACCAGGCTTTATCAGTGGTAGTGGAGCCTGCCTGTTAAGGGATTTTGTGGGTGTGCGCGAAGAGAAGCTGTTTTTCATAACATCACATTTGTTTTTCAATTACATCAGCACCATGCATGTGAACACTCAACCTATTACAGCTCCAACCACAATTAATCTTCAGTGACTGGGCCTTTCTGGAAGTCTAAAAATTGTTGTCAGACAGTGAAATAACTTAGCACCAAATTAATTTCCACACAATGCTCTGTTTTGTCTAAAAACTGGCCTAGTTTTATTTTTGTGTCCAGAAACAATACTGCTTCATTGTTCTTGGTAGTCAGCCAGGTGGGATTTTTCATATACAGTATCATATATATTATAGAGGGTAGGGGTGGGGGGGGAGAAAAACCACTGTTCAGTGATGGTAGTAGGTAATCTGCAGGATTTATAAGCAGCAAGTGGGCCTGACATGTGTGCACCCTAAAGACACTAGCCAGTAGCAAACGGCCATATTTTCACCTGCTCTAACAGGGACAACTGTTCAGAGTTTGCCTTGGAAACCACCCAGCTGATAAAAGCATGAATGTAATTCCAGAAAACCAACTCAAAACATTCCTCATATCGCCTTAATATACGTTAGCTTCACTAAGCTTGTTACCCAGGCCTTTCACAGGTTGCTAGATCAAATTTTCCTATTATAAAACTGTTGTCAATGGCTGTATAAAAGGTTCTCGTTTTCTCTGCTGTACACTTGGAAGCGATATCGTATTTTCAAGGTAAACAAGGTCTCAGGAGCACATGGCCCTCAAAGCAGACTGTACAATTGGGTAGGGGAAGAGCAGGGAGGAAAAAAAAGAAACACCACCACAGTAATTTTGCCAGGAACTCAAAAAAGTTCACAGTGCCCACTGCAGATAAGCACCTAGACGTTTGCTGTCCACAATATCTAAGCTACAGCTACAGAACAGGAACCTCTTTGATGCTCAAAATGGGGGAAGTTGTTTCCTGGAAGGCTCTCTCTTTACCTTAGGTACTTCCACCTGTACCTAAGGTAACTATTTTTGTACAAAAAAAAAAAAATAGCCTCAGCAACCCATCTCATTTTTTCTGTAGCTTTGGTTCTTATTTTTTCCAGTCTGAAGCACCTTCCCTGAACTTTAGTTCTTTGGGCACCCCATCATTTTGGAATGAAGCCTACTCTGTGTATATGAACATGGCAAGAATGAGTATGACACGATTACAGTAGCACAGAGATCTGAAGTTTCTGCAGTGTGACTAACGGTAAAGTCCAACACCTTCCAAATGTACCATTCGTGGTATCAATATACATGGGATGAAGCCTAAGTCCACTACATTTCACATACACACAGTAAATAAAAGTGATCTCTTTTGCTGTTGAAAATGGTAAGACAGAGCCACAGAAAACATGCTTTTCCATTATATTCACTATGTCTGAAAGCATTTTTTATATTACTAATAATCCATTTCAAACATCTATTATCTCTCATCACAAACTATTTTATAGCACATCGTTCATCCACTACTAGTATGCCACTAATATGGCAAAGCGATTCCTAGTCCTAGTGTATCTATTACATACTCACTGTCTTGCAAAAAGGGCCATATATATTTAGATTATCAGCAAAAATAAATCAGCATTCTAGCTCAGTGGAGCTATGACTGTGTACCAACTGAGGTCTTTAATGGTCATAAGCAGTCAGAGCCTTCTCTCAACTGTGATTATTGCAAAAACATAGCATTTTCTAGCACTACACTTCAACACCGGCTTTATCCCAGAGCCACAGAAAAATTCACCAGCTACAGATTTCTCTAATGCCAAATTCATTGCAGATGGGTTTTCTTTGGATGTTTCTGATCCTATGACTGTTAAGTCCTAAGCTTATTTAGCTCATAAGATAATCAAAGCCTTGGTTAGTACAATCCTCCCTGAGTTGAGGGATGAAACAAAGGAAAATCTGCAGAAGGATCCCATAACATTGAGTAAATGGACAACAAAATGACAGATGAGGTTGGTAAGTGTGGAGTAATGCATGTGGGAAAGAATAACCCAAGATGCACAAAAACACAGTGATGGGCTCTACATTAGCTGTTACTTCTTAAGAAAGAGATCTTGGAATTATTGTGGATAGTTCTCTGAAAAAAATTAGCTTGGTATTTAGTAAGCAGCCATAAAGGCAAATAGAACGTTAGGAACAATTTAAAAGGGAATTGAAAACAATACAAATTTTCTTTATGCCATTAATCAAGTCTACACTCACACCAAGTGTTGCATGCAGTTCTGGTCCTTCCACCTCAAAAAAAGGATACAGTAGGGCTAGAAAATGTACAGAGAAGGGCAACAAGGATGATCCGGGGCATGGAGAGATTTCCATAAGTGCAGAGATTAAATTGGCTAAAACTTTCCAGCTTTCCAGAGGAAAATAACTTGGGGGTGGGTAAGAGAGGTCGAGAAAGTTAATAAAAGTTTTGGAGGAAGTAAATAAAGATTTACTATTTACCATCTCTTGCTGTACTCAAACTAGGGGATATGCAAGGGTATTACTAGGAAACAGGTTTAAAAGTAATAAATGCAAGCTGTTAATAGCCTTTTTAAAGCTTTGGACACATGAGATTTTCTCTGACTGGAAAAAACCAAAATACCTTACCGACAGAATTGGAGAACTTCTGATTGGAAGGTTGGGCACTTTCTTTTTTCCGTAAGAAAGATGAAACCATTTTCTAGAGAAAGCAGGGGTTCTTAAAGAAAAAGTAACCAAGTCATTGTACTCACTGTAGGAGGGTATTCCATACGGTTGTCCTGGAGGAGGATATGCAGTATAAGCAGCAGCTTGCTGGATTCCTGCACTATACTGGGTCTGTCCATATGCCGCCATTGCTGGGAAAGTTGAGACTGTCACTATATGGGGATAATGTCTATTTGAAACAAGAAAAGAGAAGATCTAAGGCAATGGTTACTGCATGCAACTCTTTAGAGAAACCTCATTAATTTAATGGTAAAAACATACAGAAACATAAACAGAATGACTACACATGGTGCTGTGCGGGATATTTTGGGAACACAATATTTGCCACACAGTCAGACCATTTTTTCTAGTTCTTGAGATACCAGTATGCAAGAGGACACAGATCCATCCTAATGCACAGGGAAGAATATGGCATAGGACTGCACAAAATATTTTTCATGATTTTAAAAGCTCAAATCTGATTTTTAATTTTTTTTGCATACACAAAATAAAAATGCAATTTCACAGCAAAACCTGCAAAGTATCATTTTACTTTATAATCACCCCTAAATAAACCTATGTGCAAAATGAAATAATTTTTATTCCTTGGGATAGAAATGATGGTACCCAGACTATTCATCTCTCTTCAACTTGCTTTCTAAGTGGATTAAGAACTTGTTAGAGAAGGCCGAGTATTGCAGCATGTGGAAAGACTGAAGGAGTATGTATGTCCTTCAGAGTTTTCAAGTTGGCAGGAGCCCCTACTGAATTATTTTTCAGCAAAACAAGGTTTATAACCTACTGTACTTGAATTCCCTTAAACATCAGACACACTCACTTTGTGGAGTACAGATGGAGAGGACACTGTGGTATTGCTTCACTGTTGCCTGAAAAACAAAATTAAAGTGTCTCTGGTTTTCAGTAATATTCTGTTCTGTAGCCAAATTGTTCTGATCACTGTAGGATACAGAAATTGATGCAGCAAGTAGGGGAAATTATTTTTACTGAAATCCCCCAAAAGTTGCAGAAGATTAGCAATGGTGAGAGACAACTTTTATTTAAGAAAATTAGTTAGAATTATGAAGAAATAATGAAGAAAAAATTTACCCAAGAGGTTATTAGTCGATTGACTAGTCTACTAGGTTATTCTTTATTTGGCTCCTTATCCATAAGGCAAGAGCACCAATTCTCAAGTCATGAGCAGTCCCACTGGCTTCACTATTACTATTGACTGCTCTATGATCAACTTCTATAGCTGCTGAAGTAACATTAAAACCCACCACGTTTGCCCACTACATTCTTTTTGTGCCCCCGTGGTTTGGTCTTTGGCTTTCTTTAAATGCATTATAAAATTAGACAAAGAATATTGGGTTGAGAAGGGAGCTTGAAAAGTCATCTAATCTATTCCTCTGCCCTAAGGTAGGTTCAACTATACTAAAAATGCATCAAGACAGGATATACAAGTTTGCATTGCTCTTCATACTGAATTCTGTAATGCAATTATCTAACATATTGTCATTTTAGTAATTAAAACATTAACAAATGACAGAAGACCAGTAACACAAGTGAACAGTATGCTTTTCCTGCACCATACATTTACTTTCAGCAGAACCAATAAAATCCTTTTTAGAGGAGAATTTAGCTTATTAAGACTAAAAACATAATTTGTTAGATTAACCTGCAAACTGCCTGCTGCTAGAGGCACGTATTCACAGCATTCCCTCATGCCATCTTGTGTATTAGACAAAATACCTCTATAAATAGCATCCAGCACAATGAATCCCAGGTCCTAAGTAAGATTCTTAGATGCTATAACAATACATACAATACAACAACTAACCATCACTATTAACAATAGAACGTCAGGCCAGACACACTTCCTATTTTACTGATATCAACAAGGCCACCCACCATGCCAAACTAACTGCATGCTGTCCTAACACAGCAGGGAGAACATACCTAAATACATAATGGCAATTATACCATCTAATGTGCTTATACACTGCTGCCCATCACTTCAGGCAGGGGCACCCCAGGGCTTCCAATGCTTGTATTACTGTGTGATCTGTTATGCAGATTTTATAAATGTCATCCAACAAGTGAGAAGGAATAGAATATGCCTACAGTGCTGGTCCACAAACCAGGCAGAAGGCACCTGCAGTGCCTCCCAATGTCTGCCACCTGACACGTTAGACAGAAAGCACCTGCAGTGCTATCCAACATGTCAGCAAGGACATACCCGCAATGCTGCAAAAGGATTAGCCTCATTAAAAAGTCATCTAAAATTATACGACTTCAGCAGTTCGTAAATCGGTGAATGAAACATTCACCAATATCAAATCTTTCAATATTCAATATCACTTGCACACCAGTGTGCAAGTGACACTGAATAGTCAGTACAGATTCTTCCTGTAATGGCTCTTATTAATACAGGACCTTCATAACACTTTGCAGACTTAAGAGAAGAAAGAGTTCCTGCCCCTAGGAGTTTACAAATACACTGGCTTTAGTTCTAATCCTTTCTGTAAACATTAATTTAAAAGTTGTCTCCTTTAGATTCTGATCCTTCCCATGAATGTTATGAATTAGTTGTCATATTATATGTGGTCTAATCACACTGGATTTCTAAAGTCTTAACAAATATGCATACAAAACATCTACTGTGGCTTTTAAAACCCTGCAAATAAAGGGTTAAGTATACTAGTTAAATATAATAGTGCCTTTTGCTAACTCTCCTCCAGCAGGAAGGCTGACAGATCCCAACCGCAGCAAACAATAGCTGGAATTGTACTAGCAAGAACTAGTTCAGCTGCATCATTTGCCAATAATTTTTTTAACAGATTTAACATTCTTCTGTTTCCTTCACTTGCACAGTATGATTAGGGGTGGGTGGGAGGGGAGAGCAGATAAATTTCTATCAGAGCATCAACTGCCGAAAGAATTTGTCCTTGGTACCTGCCAAATACAAAACGTCAGACCACAGATCAGGGAGACTAACTGTTCAGAAATGATAGCAATGATCTCAGCATGACAAACAGCAACTGCTTTGGTAAAATGTTTTGTATCTGCATTCCGCATTGCTAGGAAAGACTGACCCTGATTTTGCCTTTGCTTTTCCCCCCTGTCTAGTCCTCCAAACAGCAATATTACTAGAACTAGGAGTTCAAATTAATGCTACTCTAGGGATTATTGGAATCCAAACCAAGACTGCCAATCCTGACCAAAACTACATGTTTATACACACAATATTGTGTGGCATATGTCATTGCTATTTACATATAAATCGCTGCTGATCTAATGACATAAGATAACTGGAGTTGCTACAGAAATGTAAAATAAAAATTTGAACTGCTTGTTGCATCAAAGGACTAATTCTCACCTATGCAGGCCTCATCCCTGGCTAGTTCTTTTTGTTATACACATGCTGTATGCTAAAGTTAAATAAATCATAAGCAAGAAGAGGCAGCCTACCTTCTATGTCATCTGGAGCCGTGGCATAAATGTTAGAAAGGTTAAGCTTCAGTCTGTCGGGGCACTCTCTATTTACAGTCAGGCTGGGTGATATCACTAGATCTAGCATTTCCTTATACCTGAAGGAAAACAAAGGAAAATATAATTTATTCATTAATTATGCATGCTTACTAATGATTCCATTTTTCCCTAAGAGTATAAATATTAAAGATGATTACCTAAACCCAGGCTTCATATAAATTCTACATAATAATTCACTAAAGTTTTCATCCAAGGGAAATGCCAAATTAAAATTAAGTACTACTTCCCTTAGAGATTACACCCATTGGATTAATGTTTTTCTTTCTTCCTGGATTTTGCTACTGGAAAATTAAGTTTCTGTATTTCTTAAATGCCATCTGAACAAGCATTATATTTAAGTACTACCACCACCCTATGATGTGTGCAGTGGTTTCCACTAAGGCTATGGGAATAGGGATTAAAAGGCTGAAATTCAAGATGAGGGCACTTAGCAGCATTATCCAACCTTAAGAGATAACAAGAAGAAAGTTATTATTGGTAAGGTTTGGAGGTTCCAGTTAATCACGATAACTTTTGAACGTACGAAAGCCTTTCCAAACCTCCTTGTTCTGAAAAATCAGGTTGCAAACATACGCTAGAAGAGAGTGTCATATAAGTCACCTGATTTTAATGTGGCCAGAAAGGTGCAGTCTCTGGTCATACAGGATTCAGATGTTCAAAAAAAGTCCCAGGTGTGCATGTGCATGTAATACATGCATAATGATACCATATGTATCATTGGGGTCGGACTTGATGATCTGCTCAGGTCCCTTCTGACCCTACCAACTATGAAACTATGTGTGGTTAACTATTAATTGGATGAACTAGTTTTTGATAAAATAAGGATCACAAGAACCACTGCTCCAATGAGCACGCATGTGTGGGTCTACCCACGTAAAAAGCACACTGTAAAATGATCAAATGTAGGTGCCTATCTTTAGGCATCCAAATACTCAGAAACATTATTCCAAGACCTCCACCTTCACTTCCATTCTTTACCACCTTTATAATATCAAGGCTTTTAGCTGCATTCCTAAATAGAGTTTAAGTGCCTAATTTGGGGCAGCTAAATTTAAACCAGCATGATCTTGTAATTGCCTAGCTGCCTTATTTTATACCAAATACCTTTTCTAAATATCTACCCACTACAACAATCTGTGGAAGGAATGCACCATGGGTTTCATGGAAACCGCAGCTCAGTTCTGAACTCAGAAAAAATTCAGTTCAGCTCTAAACTTGGAAAAAAAAAATACTTGGAGGGAAATCCAGTAGCCTTAGAAGTTTGGGAGGCCAGTGGGTAAAACAGAACTGTTTTTCAAAAACAAAAAACACATGACACCATGGAAATCTGCTTTGCATTGTGAAACATGTAGATATACTTGCTCTGCAGCATTTGATTCAGGCCCAACACAGACTGTACACAGACAAGGATTCAGAGATGTGGCACTATTTTTTTCTTTGCTTTTCACAGTCATAGGAAGCAGGTTGCACCATTTGTCAGGCTTGTCCTCACTTCAGTCCCCCTGAGGCTACAGCATTAAGGGAAAACATGACTGTGCTTTTAGAGGGGTGTTCCAAAGCGGCAACAGGGAATGGACCTGGGAGATGACAGCTGGAGCATAGAGCTTGGGGTGGGGGAAGAACTTGAGGCTTCCACTGTGGTGAATGGCCCCAAAAACCATATGGAGGGTCCCAAGTCAGAGCCTGAACCAGCTCACCTTTCTGTTTACTACTGAACACATTGTTCAGCTAACTTGCTGCTCCGAGATAAGGATC